AGAGCACATCAAATTACACACTCCATATGGGACTGGGTGCACTTGCTACCTTCTCAGTTTTATTGATTTATTTCCAAATCGAGTAATTGAAGCACTGAGTGTTTTTGTTGCAAGATAATGTAAATATTTCCAGTAATACTGAACATGACCTTCATCTAGCAGACATGTGCCAAAAAATGGTTTTAAATGAATCAATTGTGACTAACATCATGAAAAACTAGGATAAAATTTTGTACGTTTTGAATAAAAACAAGTGTGACATAAAAATATTCTGCTTATCTAATCAAAACAGCATTCAATTAAGCTGATGAAAAGCTTCTCATCATGCGCGAGAAGCGAACAAAGTCGTTTTGTGCGGACTGGTAGTCGAGTGTGGGAAGTGACTAAAGTCATTTTGTATGATTTGGTAGTCAAGCGTGGGTAACAAAAATAGTTGTTTCCAATAAATCATTGGTGGATTATTGTTATCGGTGGGCTTTTGTAATTTTTTCACAATAAGGTCGGGCACATATGATCATTAGGTCGTTGCCCGTGCATTTCAATGTTAAAATGCGAATTGCAAAAATGCATTCCTATGAATGTGCTTTTTTGATGCTGTTATGCTACAACAAATACAGCATTCAACATCGGAGCTTCCAGCTACATATTGACATAAATCTGGGAAGTTGAGCTGCAGACACAATCTATGCAGCCAACAATTTTGCCAACAGCCCACTGCTCATACGTTGTCCACAAGTACATCTGCATAATTAAATTCATCACTAGGAACATCAATTTTGTGCTCATGTATTCCCATCCTAATTTGACTTTTTTTACAGTTTATTCCTAAGGACTAATAATAAAACAGAATGCAATGATGAAGAATTGTCTGCAGATAGTTTGTCAAATTGTCAGAACGAGGTTATCGATGATGATTCTAGTAATGACGATATTATACATCATCCTAGAACTACTCAATGAAGAACTTTAAGCTCGGATTCAGAGTATTCTGGCACTCAAGAAGAACGTTTATCAGTAGGCAAATATCCAGTTTTGGAAGAGTTTATAAGTTGCTCAAGAATAAATACAGAAAATGTTCTGGATGCTGTAGCTTTATGTATTAACGATGATTTTTTGTACATTCTTCGTAGAGCAGTCAAATAGATATTATTACCAAAATATTGATAAATTTACAACTTCCAAAAAAACACTCAAATGGAAAGACATGAAGAAATTTTTGGGTCTTATTCTTAGTATGGAACAAGTGCATAAGGACTGAAAAGAGGATTAGACAGATTTCATATGTTATGGAAGGCTTGGTACTTTAATAATAATGAAGACTTGACTTCATTATTATTAAAGAAGATGGATCAGAAAGGCTTTCAAAAGTCAGACCACTACTGAATTACTTTGTTCCCAAGCTTATAAATGTTTATATTCATATTCAGCAGTTTTCTTTGAATGAAGGCATAATACCTTGGAGGGGAAAGTTATTCTCCAGAGTTTACAATGCAATGAAGATTGTAAAATATGGAATTCTAATTTATATACTGTGTCAAAGTACTAAAAGCTATGTGGGTCATTTTGAAATATATTGTGCTCAAGGAAAATGATTGACAGATGAATAATTGATCAAATGGTTATAAACCTTATACAGACTTGTGGCACGATAGCTACATGAATAACTATTACAATAGCATGGAAAACGGTGAAAAGCTATTACAAAATAAAATTAGAATTTGCAGCAGTATTAAAAAAACAGAGGACTTCTGGACTGCCTAAAATTTCATTGAAAAGAGGAGAAATAGCCTTCAGAAGAAAAGAGACATTGTACCAGTATGGTAATCAAAGAAAACAGCATCTCTTATATCGGCAATATATTAATCGAAAATGAAAGGAAGTCATAATATTGATAGAAACACGAGGGAAAAAATAATTAAATCTAACGTGCTGATTGACTGTAAAAAGTACATGAAAAGCATTGATCGGGCTGACCAGTATCTAACATATTACTCCATTTTATGAGAAACAACCAAATGGACAAAATCAGTTGCTATGTGGCTCATAAATTGCACATTATTCAACTAGTTTGTTTTTTATAATTTTGTGAAGGAAAAGAAAATAAGGTAACAAAAATTTGTTGAAACTTATAACTGTCCATTTCTACCAAAAGTTGATCAAGACCCAGAAGAACCAATATTATAAACATACAGCATTAGAAAAAAAAGCAGCAAAGGATGAGTCTCCAGGGAGACTTTCCATGAGCAATGAGGAAACATACATTAGAACTTATCGTAGGAATTGGAAAAAAGAAAAATACTTTGCAAATGTTGTGTGTGCTCCATCATACGCAGTGCAAGATGGTAGTGCTTTGAAAGATATCACACTTCAAAACAATTTTAAATTCTTGATTTTCTTAGTTTTTGATTTTTGAGAAAGTATTTTTACTTTTTTTTAAAGCGAATAAAGAAATTAATTTTTAACGAGAAATTAAAAGTTTTGCTAAAAAAAAAGAACCTAAAGTTAAAAAACTAAATTAAGTATATGCACTCAAAAAATGAATATTATTGAATGAAAATGTGAGAATGTGAAAGGCATTTCCAACTTGGAAGAAAATGAATAAGGTGATGGTAACATAAAAATTGTTCCAACGGTGAAAGAGGTACTGGATAGTCTCAGATTCATAGAATATATAAAAAATACAGAAAAACATATATTCATGAAAAGGAGAACATGTTTATTAAAAAATATCTGCAGAAAACAGATTACTTCACAGTAATGTCAAATTGTTTATTCAATTTAATGAATCTACTCTCATCAAAATTGAAATTACAGCACCATGAAGAAATGTCCATAGCAATGTCAGAATAACAGGATTGGTAGATGTTAAGACACATATGCAAATTATTCAATTTCTGTGCACATGCTACCCAATTTCTGGTTATAAAAGCCAGTATTTGGCTCACTTTGTATATGCTATCAATGACAAACTGTTGTAACAGAACTCTTGAAGAAGGGTAGCAAATGCGTTGGAAACATCAGTGAGCTAAATACCAGCAATTAGTGTCTGAGGAAGAAGACTATATCTTAGAACTGCACGAGCTTGTTTTGTCGATACACATAACTGCCTGTCATATTGAATGGGACTAAATATAGTTCAGCAATGTGTGGCATGATGGACACGGCACCATCTGAGAACACAAGGAGCAGTGGATGATCCAGGTGCATGTCAGTTCACACCAATAGCTGAATTCGGGGAATGTTAGGGAGAACCCATTTGTCATGGCTAGTCATATTCAAACCTACCATTATCAGAAGGAGCATCTGTCTCCTGTCAAACCATCTGTAACAAGTTGCACGAGGCAGGAATGTGTGCACTGCGGCCAGCCACTGAAGTTCCTTTAACCACTTGACACTGTCTGGCTTTGTGTTAAAGTTATTATCAACAGAGGAGTGAATAGCATCAGGTATTATTTTCAGACAAATGCCGATTTTGCTTATTGAAGAATGGCAATCATAGATATGTGTGGCGGATTCTCAGAGGATGTTACCTGCCAGCCCATATTGTCCATCGTCACAATGGGCTTTATGATTTGGGATGGCATTATATTCGGACAGAGGACAACCCTTGTGCATATTACTAGCAGTTTAACATTAAGCTAGTACTTCCCTGACTGGCAGCCTCACTCTGATCTTTCTCCCACTGAGCATGTGTGGGCTGCCTATCAGACATGTGGTGCACAGGTGCATACTGTAGTGCAGAGTTTCTTAAACTATGGGTCGCGACCCTAGCACCAGGAGGTTGCTAGAAATTTTAGCAGTTTTGATTTTTCTTTAACTTATTATATTATAATAATTTTACAATATTTTTACACAATGTAAATAGATAAAGATCAGCCAAAGAAAAACGAAAACGTTTTGACGGGTTCTTTTTATAATATAAATGTTCATTTTACTTGCTTTGCACGTGACGCTGTCATTTCATCTGTTACTTATTTAAAATTTTCACATTGTTCTATATCTTAAAATTAGAAATTAAAGTTAATGACCTAAAACTGCAATAGTATATTACAGTACAAGTGAAAAATTTACCGTTTCACTCACGCGTGTGCCAGATTTGTGCAATACTTATGGGGTTCCACAAAAAATTTTTTAATATTATGGGGGTCGCGAAAAAAATCTCAGTGATAAAAAGGAGTCGCGGCAGAAAAAAAGTTTAAGAAGCTCTGCTGTAGAGAACTAGGAGGTGCATTGGGCACTGCTTGAGAAGGAATATCTCAGGAGATCATTAACAGCCTCATAGACAGTATGCCTCACTGTTTAGAGGTCTATAGCGGCCACATTAGATACTGAATAAACAGTTTAATTTTTCATTTCATTTGTTTGTTCCTTTAATCATCTGCATATGTGTCTCACCTCTACCAATACTGTTATTTTCACATCACTACGTGCTTTCTTTCATGTTGTTGCAATTTCACTTTTGACAAGTATATGTTATTTCTTTTATATTCTGCTTTCTGGCTCAATATTCCAATCAATTCCATTAACAAATTTAAAGAAAACATTTCGTTTTTAATGAACAAAGTATACGAGTTCACAATGATTCAAATATGCAGCATTAATTTGCATTTTCTTCCTTTGAACTACTGTAAAAGTGTGAACATACAGTAACTGAAAGCAAATATATTGATAACCATAAATAATAAATATAATAAAAATGATTTATGCATCTCTTAGTTTAATACTCGACATTTGGTTGTTTCTAGGACCTCAAAAAATGGCATTTATATGTTCCTGAAAATTCTGAAAGAGCCTCTGTTTTTGTATCACAAAATATAATTTTCCCCTATTTTTATCTGCTGGTCTATAACACTTTTTGAAGCTATTTACTAACATTATGTATTTTTAGATGAGCACATATATATTGCTCATATTATGTATATATATTCAAGGCTGAAAGACATCCCGTGTCACAAAACAAAATATTCATAATAAATATCAGTTATATGCAACAGATGATATGTTAATCAAAAGATGTAATATTTATTTATATATCAAGCTAGTAACTTTACATTACATAAGAGAATTAGATTATTCTTAAACAATTGTAGTAGCTTATAAAGAAATTGTATTTTTCAATCACAATTTTAAATCTATTATGCATCAGAAAATAGCAACACAACATAATATGTGCTTCGTTAATCAGTGGTTCAAATATCAATGGAAAAAAGTGCCATAAAAATGGAAAAATATTTATTAAGGTTATAAAACTCATTGTATTTTCAACATATATATACATGCTCTATCAATGCTATCAGAGGGAAAAAACCATATGATTCATATTATTATAGTCAGTAAACTTATGTTTCATGCATATTCAGAGATTAATTAATTAATCAAAAAGACTAATACTAAAATAAATACATCATTTTAATCTTTAACAATACGAAAAATTTATCAATAACCTTAAGAAGTAAAATTTGTTTTCCTTAATTTCAAAATTACTAAAAACTTTCACATCATCTTTATTGTTTTATAACACAAAATACTTATAAAGTTAATCAAAATGTCATGTTTCTATAAGTAAATCAAAATGCTTACTTAAAATATACTATTTTTTTAATTATGGGTCTTTCACCATGGTAGCTGATTGTTTTAAATTGAATAACATAATAATTGTCAAATGAAAATATTTTTGAAAAAATTTCGATGTTTCTATAAAAGACAAGCATTGTTAAACATTCTGGTGTTTTTTTGCCTAAACATAGCTTATGCTTGAACTAACATCAAAATTTTATTCTTGAAATGAGCAGAAATATTTAAAAAATGAAGAAAGTTTTCTCTTAGAGGTTATTAATTTAGAATATAATCTAAAATCTGCAATTACTTAAACACCGCTAAGAGCAAAAAGTTTTAATCAAAAAATAGTAATTTGTAACCACTTATAATTTATAAATACTTTCAAGTTAATTATTTGATTGGGACCAATATTTTTGGCCTGCTGAACAAGATGAATCATACCATGAAGCTGAAACCTGATTTTGAGGATCCCATTGCATTTGATTTCTGCTTACTGGATTTGAATCATTAGTAAAATTTTCTCTACAATAACCTAAATGCCTTCGATTTGTTTTTATGCAGTCAGATGTAAAAATTGGCTGAGGCTGACCTTTAACAATAAGCTGGCACAATGATTCACCAACAGTTGGTTCTAGCTCCTAGAAATTAAATAATCAAAAGTTTATTTTTAAAATAATATAATAAAAAACTTATGTAATAATAAACATTTGTTTTCTTTACGAGTATCAGATTATAATATTAATTTTATTACAACAAATTAACTATTAATTATTATAATATTAATTTTTATACAACAAATTAACAATTTGTTGTTTTCTTTACGAGTATCAGATTTGACTTGTAGTATCAGATTTGACTTTATTATAATATTTTCTTTTTACAGCATTTATATAGTTAAGTCATTTTCTCATTCCTAATGAAAATTGTTAAATATCTGAGATGAACTTCTGAGCCTTAATCCACTCATTTATATTTTATACAATAACCATAAGTTCGTCTAACGAAATGTACACTGTGCAAAAAAGAGGGGGGACAGTTCTGTATCTCCCGTTCTACTGGGTCGATTGGCAAAATTCAACTAGTGTTTTTCATGTCTCGAAAGCGCGACTTGAGATGTGTATTAGATTTATATATAGCATCGTTCTAATACAGGTATTTTTGACATAAAATCGGACTTTTTCTAAAATAACATACTAATTTTTTCCATATTTCCATTCTACGACTCAAATTACACCAAACTACCAAGTTTTGTAAAAATGGCACGAGTAGTATTAAAAAATTTAGCTCTCAAAATGTTAATTGTTCTTCTCAATGTTAATTGCATTTGGTATATATTGATTAATCTTTCTTTTTTTATTAAACTCATTTTTCCTTTCACATTTTGAAATTTAGAAACAATTTTTATGAATTTTTCAAAAGCATTTTGAATTATAATCTATAAAATTTTTACCATCATCTTAAAGTAGATGTATTTCTAAGCATGCCTGCAAAAAATTTGTTTTTTATTCAAAAATTTCAGAAAATACAAGGCAGGGGATTTATATATTGGCACGTTTTGAAATTTGGCATATTTATTGAAAGCAATAAAACATCAAATGTGGTTTAGACACTTTGCTAAAATTATTTGAAAGTAGGAACGATGTGACTTTTCCCCCACTCATGCACAATGTAAAAAGGTAGAAATGAGGTGCCTTTTTTCCCACTCCAGCATAATGGAAGGGAAAGGAAAATTGAATTATTTTTGGCACAAACTGAAAATTTTTTCCATAAATTAAGAACCAAATTTTACAAAATTTAATATCTAGGCATAATTTGAGTCATAGAATCAAAACATGGAAATAAATTGATATGTTATTTCAGAAAAAGTCTGATTAAGTGTTAAAATACCTGTATTATAACAATGTTATGTATAAATCTAACATATATCCTAAGTTGCGCTTTCAAGGTGTGAAAATCGCAATTTGAATTTTGTCAATCAACCTAGTAGAACAGGAGATATAGAACTGTCCCTTTTTTTTTCGCAGCGTACATACAATACAACTGAACTCAATAGTGAAAAATCTGACTATCTGGCATTCAATTTATTAGAATGCTCAAGAAAATAGAATACTTTAGAAAATTTCTTTCTTGAAAAATTTAGTAAATGAAAGATTTGTAATGCCATTATAGAGTTTTCAATACTTTTAACACACATAATTGTTATCAAAACAAAGTGATTTAGCATTGAAAATGGTCATAACACAATCATAAGAAATTTGATTTCATTTAGATTAAACTCATTTAATTTCTGTAACAAAGGATATATATTTTTATTTGAATTTTGAAAAATGACTAATATTTAGAACAGCATGAAGTTGGAGTATTTTCAAAGTTACAGGAACTGAGTATAAAAAAAAAAAAAAAAAAAAGTGACTTTGTAAGCAGATAAACAATAGCAATATAACTTAAAAAATTATGATAAGGTATTTAAGTTTTTTAATTTGCTACATCCACAATTTGTATCTCTTTATTATCTAACTAAATAAAGAATGATCTATGCATGTAAACTTCTGCTGCAATGATTTGTGGCATTTCCACCTATGTTCATGTTTGGTGAGGTTTCCTATTGGATCAGATGCTTTATGCTTAAGGAATGAATATGAAATATGTTGCCTTTTATGTCTAAAATGAGTTTTGTTTTTGAAATGTTATATAATTTTAAATGTAAGTTTTTTTATATTCAAATTGGTAACAAATAGGATGATTTTTTATAACTTTAGATTGAAATTTTTCCTATTTATTTGGCTTTTCTACCATTAATTCAAATTTTTATATGCATAACTATTTGGAATTCAGCAATTCCCCAAGTTTTTTACCGTAATTATTCCCAAACTCGGCAAAATTAGTTGAGTGTCTTAACCCTATATGGATGTGTTCTACTTGATATAAGTAATAGGATTCTACTTGATATAAGTAATAGGGGGACCGGAAAGTAATGTCGCTTTCTTACATTAAATTCAAACGAATAAATTTGTAACAAGTTTTTATTCTTAATCAATAATATAATCACCCTCGTTATCAGCAACTTTTTCCCATCTAGTAGGCCGATTTCAATCCCAGATGGATAAAAATCAATTGATTTTTGAGTAAAATATCTCGAGATGGCATTTTGGACATCATCCAAATTTTCAAATTTTTTGTTACTAAAAAAATGTTGTAGGGATCGGAATAAATGTAAATCCAAGAGTGCCATATTGGGCAAATATGGTGGGTGAGGCAGTACCTCCCACCCCAATTCATTATATTTTTTCAGTGATCGTCTTGCACAAGTGCAGTCTTGCATTGTCGTGTTGCAGAATGACGCCTTTTCCGTTCACAATCACCAGATATTTTTCGATTAAACTTGGTTCACTAGATCCAATTGTTCACAATAAAGGTCTATATTAACAGTTTTTCCAGGTTTCAGCAATTCAAAATGAACAATTCCGCGAATACTCCATCAAACATCCAGAAGCACCTTTTCGGGATGTAAACCCTTTGTAACCCCTATTAAAACTGCTTTTTGAGTTTTGGATTATCATATAGGACTTAATTTTTTTGTCTGCACTAATCAAACAATCAAAAAAATGGTTCTGTATGGTGCCGTTGAAGCAATACGTTGCATGTGATGGATAGGTTGGCTTTGTTCTTTTCAGACAGATTATGGGAGGACTCAAACACCTGCTTTGGTTATTTTTCCATTCTGCTTTACTTGGATGGTCGAACAAGGTTGGTTAAGAGTGTTTGACATGGATTTGCTTCCACTTCTACCCTTAGCATGTTGTTGTTGACATGCGCAAAAACGACATTACTTTCCGGTCCCCATATTATATAAATTATCTGATGCATACATGCAGTAGGCATTTGCAAACAGTCAATGTATTATTAATGTCAATATGTTTGCAAATAATTAATGTATAATTAATGTCAAAATCTTCCTTGTCAGAAATAAAGAAGAAAATCAATACAAAATTCTAAATAACATTCATGCTATTTGAATTCTTCAGTTTACTGTTATCCTCCAATAGAATAGTTGGTGACATACAAGGCACATCCTCTTAGCATTTTCAATGTGTAATTTAGAAATATCTGATTTACGGCAATAACACATGAAGTATGGATAGACAGTAAAGCACAATGTAGAAGTAAAAGGAATAGTATGGGAGAGTAATAACTTTAACTAATGTCTTTGAAATATACTTCAAAATATTCAATGATTTCAATTCTAACACACTTATACAAGAAAAATCCTAACATTACTTTTATAGTTTCCTTCTTAATTCTCTTGACTCCAATGCACTTAACCCAGTGATCGATTAAAGGTTGGATGCTAGCAGAAAAAAAAACTTTTTTCACCACTTTCAAACCATTTCTGAACAGCATCCTTCAAATCATCATCATTGTTACAACCATGAAAATGTTGTTTCAGTTTCTGAAACTAAAAGAAGTTACTCAGATCCAGGCCTGGGTATATATGGTGGAAAGACGGAGAAGATTAAGTGTGTAATGCTAAACAGCAATCTCGGAAATTTGAGCCTCGTGTGCATTGGCAAGCAAAAACAACACTTTTTGTTGAGTTAGGCACAGTGTTTTATTTAATGTTTTATCAAAGCTGAATCAACAGATTAAAATGGTAAACTCTTGTTTTCCTTGCATATAGCATAGAATCAATAATTAGTGGTCTCTCTTCATTTTCAAAAATATGTGTCTGAATTCTTCTCCATAGATTTCTGCAATATGAAGTCAAAGAGATCTACAGTGTTTCCACAAAAAATTTTATTGCTAGTTATCATGAAAAAAAAGTTTTCAAATTCAACCTAACATTTTTTCATCTCTTGCATCGATATTCTGAATACTCATATGATACAATTCTTAAAAATCCCCAGCTTTTCATGTAATTTTTTCACTTATCAAACAGTCAGGTTAAACAGTGATGCTCCTATTTCTTCAGCAAACATACTCCTGACATCCTCTGTATCAGGTGTGAGGCGGAAGACAGGCACAAAAAGCCACAATTTATGATGTTAGTATTCTCTGTTTACTGCGGCCAGTCCCACACTTACCAGTAACAGAATCTAAATTTCACTTAATCCAACAATCCGACCAGGCCCGCAGGATCACCACTCCCGGTTCTCAGTCTCATGGAAGGGTGTGACTACAAATTTAAGGTTGACGATCTAACTGGTTGTTGATTAATGCCCTTGCCAGCACCAAGTGAGCAGCCTCAAACTGTTAAAATTACACAAAATTTGGACTGAACACAGCAAGCCGTGGCCAATACCAGCTTGAAGTTGCACTGCCAATCCCCCTTTGGTCCAACCATATTGTACGATCTTTCTACAGGGTTTTGGAACCGCCAGGCTCATCCCTCCCCTCAGGGTGCTATTGCCATAGTAAGATGCTAAGTCAGTGTGTATGCCTCAGGGGGTATATTTTTTCAGTAGTCACATCTACACTGTGGCCTGACCTAAGATGCTCTCCTTTGTTGACATGATAGCCCACTTTTTAACAGCAGCATACAAAAGTACTGCATCATCACAGGCTATAAAAATGCATTCATGAATATCTGTCAGTGATTTTTTTTTGGGGGGGGAGAGGGGAGGAGGGAGATCAAAACCTCAACCACCTAATGATATTTGATATTTTCAAAATTAAAAGACATCTCCGACTGACAATGTTTAACAAACAATACCTACTGTGTGCACTTTCTTTTGTATGCTTAAAAAAGGATGTAAACTTCATCTCATTTCATCATATTAACAAGCATATCATACTTAGGTCTAGAACATATTGAATGTCTCTCGTAGAATACAGCACATCTAATTAGAATATTAACAAGCATATCATACTATTTGAATACAATTTGATCTGTTTTGTTCATCCTAATAAGATAATAAACTTCCATAAAGAAATAATAGAAAAAGAATTACAAAATAACTTGTTACCTGGCCATCTCGGGAGATCTGGACTTTCCTGTTTTCATTCCATGCATTTTGCAAATGACGAGTGCTTTGGAAAGGTATGTTTGCCCTTAAAAAAATAATAATAATAAAAATTGTAAATAAAAAAGCAACTCTAAATGTTAGATAATTAATTGTTCTACACAATTTATATATAACAGTATTAAAAAATTTTACTCCTGATATAGCTAATTATTTTTAAACATACATTCATTTCTCAGTATGCTGTAATTGCTTTCTGAATTTACAAGGTTAGGAATTCTAGATTTTAGTTTCTTTTCAACATGGCTAAATATCTTTAGTTTTGCATTTTAACTTCCATTTCAAAACTTGACATCAACATTTAAGTTGAACTGAAAGGAAGAATTAAAAAACCACTGACATGAGAAAAAGCTCGACACTATAAATAATGAAAAATTAAACAGAAAAGCAAGGATTTTCATGGAAAAGAGATTTCAATGATTCTTTTTTCTTTAAATTTCATTGACTCTTTTTTAATTGGATTATTGCTTGCTTGAAGAGTTTTGGTTTTAATATTTATTAAAATTCACATTCTAGTCATGGCCGAAAATACTACGACGTAGTAGAATGACACAATGGAATTTTAGAAGAAGCACGACCAGCTTGATAGTTAAACGTCATTTATTTCTGGATGACAAATTCCTTGGCACATATTTTCATAACCAATAGAAGACTAGGGATGCTAACGTGCCCCATTATTTTAAATATGCAATTACATTTTAAATAATGGCTAATAGCTAGCAGAGGCTGAGTGATATGCTGTCAGCAGGCAGGCGAAAGAGAGAGAGACTATGCAGTTAGTAACTATCGATACTAGGTAGGTGCATAAAGTATAGTTAATCTGCGATTAGTTAATTTTGGGTTTTAGTTCCATCTTTCAAGCAGCATTATGTAACATGAAAAGATCTTGAATTTTGGAGAATAGATAAATTTAGGAGGGAGAACACCAAATTTAGAATAATTAATTTTGAGGTTGACAATTATTTCTTAGAGCAGCCATCATTTTTTTATATCTTACATATATACTCGATAAAAATAATAATATATATACATGATAAAAAAAGTCTGTATACACATCGTAGCAGTCAAAAATTTCTGCAAAGAAAACTATAAAAAAAGCAATTTTTTCTGTACATTATAGTATAATACATATGTCTTTATGTCTATAATGAATATGATTATCTATTTCTGTGAAATATCCCGAAGAAATCTAATTCATCAACAGAAGATGTTGCAACCAAAATTCTTCAAAAAACAACTTTGATGCACTAGATTTTCTGGAAGCACATTCATAAAAATTTTTTGATTTGAACTTTATCCAGAACTAGGAAAGCAGATTGCAGACACTTTCTATTTAACACCACCTACTTGTGTGAAAATATGATTTTCATCACTTTGCACACAGAAATAAACCAGAAGTCATTTAAATACAACTGATTACTTACACATCTCTTTCAAAAATAGTAAAAAAAGCCTTGCTGACAGCCAACAGCTACAGTTACAATCAGCCATTAAAAATTTATATATTATTCTATATGTAGTAAATGTATGCATTTATTTATTTCTTAAAACTTAAACTCTCCTGCAATAAATGTAATTTCCTAAATAAAAAAGAAGAAACCCATTTTACAAGGGGTTGAAAAACACTTATTTTTCAGATTCAAGGGGGAAGTGGAGAGCACTGATCTTGAGGTCGCTTTTATTATTATTATATTTTATTATTATTATTATTATTTAACTCGAATTAAAAACGTTCACATTTCTGGCACGATTTAGGGTGATAAATTTTGTATCTATCAACTGGAATTGGCAAACCTGCCAAAGTGCAGATGCAGCAAGCACATTTACATGGAAAGCTAGGAGTTACAATTAGTGTACCCTACACCAGTGGTTGATGTATTTGCAGATTGTGATACCAGACGGCTTCATTAGAACAGGTTATCTGACAAGTATTCAGTGGATATTTAGAGGGAGAATTATGAGTAAGCCATTTAGAAGATTCAGTTTGGTTCCAATAGCATGGCATAAAAACAAGCACAAGTATAACTGTCCTCTATTCCTCTACAGGACCTGATGACATGTAACAAGGAAGCCTTCCCATATCATCTTGAACAATACATTCAAAAGGAAGGACATTACGTTCAAAGTCACTGATATCTGCATTATACACTGCAGTAAATACCTATGTATATATTGTTATTCCACAGTCTTAACAAAAGTTTCCAGCCACTGCAAATATTGTTTGTGCAGACAGTTTGCATTGGCATGTTTAATCATATTTTGTCAAACGAGATTTGGCATTTGAAAGAAAGATACTTGCTTTAGAACACTTGCGAAATTTGTAAAAAATATATTGTTATCATTAAGTACAAGGTGCCTGAAATAAAACTATCATGCAATCAGGTTAGAAGCATCATTTATTTCCAGTTCTGTTGCAAAAAGTTAGCCACAGAATACCCCCAAATCATGTGCATAGCTTTAGGTACTAATGTTGTATCATATGATACTCTGAAGGTTTGGTATCAAAAGTTTATGGCCTACTGATGTTGACGAGGCCTGCCTGTGAAAACTTGTGGAAGAAGATCAGTATGCAATGAATCGAAAGCTTGCTAAGGAGTTAGAGAATGTCTAACTCCTTAGCTTGTCTAACTCCTTAGCAAGCTAAGTGCCATGTCTATTAATCATGCTATGTATTGCATAAACTTGATATACAAGTTCAATCGCTGGGTGCTGCATGAACTGACTCAAGTAGATAATGACAGATGTTTTGGGGCCTGCACTAATCTGCATGAATATCAACACAAGGGCAAAATTCTACACCAGATCATAACTTGCGATGAAAAGTGGATTTATTTCAACAACACAGGCCAAAGGGGGGTCTGCACCCGGTGAAACCATTGGCAGCTTCACAAAGTACCATTTGACTAACAAAAAGATCACCCTTTGTATCTTGTGAGATTGTCATGGTATTATGCACAAAGTGTATCTAGAAAAAGGGTAAACTCTCGACAATAAGGTGTACGGAGAGATGCTAGTCCGTGTTGATGCTGCCATCAAGGAAAAACGTCAAACTGAGATCCAGTGCAAAAAGGAAATGTTTCATCAAGATAATGTAAGACCACATGTGTCTGCATTCACTGGCTGGACTCTTGTGTACAGACTCGAATGGGATCTTTTGCCCCCCCCCATCATATAGCCCCGACATTGCTCCTTCAGACTCCTACTTTTTTTTCACAAATGCAGCTACATCTTGCTGGTGCTATCTCCCGTTCTGCACAGGATGTTCGAAATGAAGTTGATCTGTTTTTGGGCTCGTGGCCGCCAAGTTTCTGGCTTTGAAAAGCATTGGCAGAATATCATCAATTTGGGCAGCGATTGCTATCCACACTAAAGATATTGCTTTCATGTTTTCATTTTCTAACTTTTTCATTACAACCAGCTATTATTACACGCATACACCATCTTTCTGTTTTTTAAAGTATAGATACAATCTGTGCCACTCTGTTGCTACTGTTTCTGTAACTCCATATTCTCTTTTACTTCTTTCTACATTTGAAAGTAAGCTGCCTGGAACCAAGATATTTTTACTTTGTTTTTGTTTAGTTTCCTTTGATATGTGATTAGTGTTTTATCATCACTTCTGCCTAGCAAGTGGTATAATTCTTCATGTGACAAACTGCACATATTCTGTTACTTGTTTTATTATATTTGTTACCTGCCACTGATTTTATTACTTTAGATATAAAAGTTTTGCCAAGCATTAGGGAAGCAAAGGAAAAAAATAGTGATGATGTTTTTCCCTATAATATTAAGGATATAGTATTCCATATTTTCATGCAACAAGAAACAAAAACTTTTGCAAAATAAGCTTTGCGTTACTGATGTTTGGAAAAATGCTAAATTCATATACATTTTCTTTCATTATGAAAATTAGATGTGATAAAAAATTTATCAAGGTATCATACATTAAGTGAGCAATCAAACTGACTATTGTCACATTTATACTTGCAGAAACTTACAAACTTCATACTAAAGCATTATTTATCCTGAAATTTTATATGTTTGAGCAATTTCAGAAAAAAATCATGCAAGTTCACATAAATGCTGTAGAAGACATACAGATACAAAGTTTATCTGAAATCATTCTGACCACTCCTGCAGTTTTCATGATACTTTATTGGGTGCAAAACAAATTACACAGTAAAGGATTTAGGGAGATTATTTTCATGTCACAACTCAAAAACAGATAGAAATTTTAAATACCTTTACAAATAAAAAACTATTTATTTCATTGACTGATTTTCAAAATTCATCTGAACAGAAAAACAGATATTGTTTATCTCCCTGAAAACTAATACTATAAAATGAAATATAAATGAAATGAAAAGAGAAATAAGCACTTCTTTTTAGATAATATAATGTTTGCAAATTTATATTTAATTGCACTGAATCATAAATTAATATATATATAAATTATTTATAAGTTTAAATTTATTTATTGCTATGAGTTTGTATTGAAAAAATACTTAATAATCATATATTCACTATTAAAGATGACATAGAAAGTTGCACTCAGTGTTAAAGATGACACAAATGAAACTGTTTGTGTATCATTACCATTGTTCTAAATATCAAATAAATATATAAAATAGTGAGTAAAATAAAAAAAAAAAACTAGTAAATAATACATTCTCTATATAAAATTAAAAACCTATAACTATTATATAAACTATAAATAACTAGAAATATAACTAATTACTTTTTAAGCCACTCAATTTGGTAACATGACCCAAGATTGGCTGAACGAAATTCTGGAGGACGATGATCTGAAATGTGAGGAGTAAATCGTGCAAATCCTTGAAAATGTCCACTTCCTTGTATGGAAAATATCAGGATTACATCCCTTCCCTCCTAAGAATTATAATAAATATTAGAAACTTTATGAATATGTGCATTTATATATCAAAATCATTTCAGTACATAACAGAATAACAATCTATCATTATAAATGCGTGATTACACTTCTTTCTTCTAATTTTTTAAAGTTTAATCATTTTTAAAAGAGGTATGATTAAGATAATTTTTAAAAACATTCACCTGAATGAATGCAAGTGTTATCAGCAATGTGTAAAAAATAGGTATTCTGTAAAATATCTAGGCAATATATAAAATACCTGGGCAATTTCAAACAAAGTATGAAATACCGAATTATTTTAATATTATATATCCTTTTCCTAGGCATTATATAGAAAGATATATGCTATTAAAGAAAGGCATTGCATAGAAAGATAAATGCTTTTTAGGCAAAATTTAAAGTGAGTCATGAAAAAGGTTGTATTGAAAATACGTGAAATAGAAATCAATATCATTAATGGCTTCTATAACAGGATAAATCAGTTTGCTTTTATCTTCCACTAACATTATGTTATAGTAATTTAGCAGCCAACAATCACATTAGGCTTCTTAATAGTCATCTAGGCGTTTTTCATATCACTCATTAACTTCTGGTAAATAGTTTTGGGTAGGAACACTGTTTTTTTTTTTTTTTTTTTTTGCAGCATTAGCTTGCACTCTACATAATTCACTGCAGAATCAACTTTCTATGTCTATGCCTTCTCTAATACTTTCAGTTGCTTCTCTGACACTCCTAGCACCTAGTGCACAACAAGATTCCTTCTCTGACACTCTTAGTTGCTATTCCTTCTCAGAACACTACAGGCTGCTCTTTCATTTTCATACAGTAAGAGCTAAATTCTTTGCTGAATAAATTTGAAGTAGTGCAGTTTGTTATTTCTGAACAAGGAATGAAATGCACATGGAACTTCTTCTGAAGCGAATGTCAAAAGCCAGGTAAATTTGTAGAAGCATTAGTTTCCCCCCCACACACACACATAGAGATGAAAAATTAACAACGTCTTCACCGGGAATCGAACCACGGACCTCTGGAATACCGGCTCAGCATGCTAACGTTACACCACGAAGGTCTGCTAGGGAAGTGGGAGAAATACCTTATATACTCCCCTTTTTAAAGGGCAACTGGGGTTTGGGTTTTCAGGGGACACTAGTCGCCAAATTCCTGGGTGTGCAGAAATCATCATCCAACAACCCTTTTAGTTCGGGCGCCACTTCTGTAGAGACACTAAGTATTAATTTGGAAGCCAGGAAAGATGAAAAATTATGCAAACTGCCTTTCGCCGGGAATCGAAACCACGGACCTCTGGAATACAGGCCCAAGTGTGCATAACTATTACACCACGAAGGCACGCTAGGGAAAGCGGTAGAAATACTTTATCTACTTGCCCTTTTTAAAGGGCGACTAGGGTTTTAGGGGACCTAGTCGCCAAAGCCTGGGTGTGGAGAATCATCATCCATAACCCTTTTATAACCCTTTTAGGTCGGGCGCCACTTGTAGAGTCATTAGGATATTTTGGAAGCCAGAGAGATGAAAAATTAGCAACGCCTTCGCCGGGAATCAAACCATGGACCTCTGGAATACCGGCCCAGCGTGCAGAACCACTACACTACACCACGAAGGCACGCTAGGGAAGTGGGAGAAATACCTTATAAGTTTGACAAATAATATTAGAAAAATTATTAGTGGGAATATTTTGTACTTTGCCAGTCTTTTGACGCTATATGGAATGTCAAAGAAATGCGTGAAATATTAATTGCTTCAAACTTTTATGCCCAATTTTCGGCATTCTATTCATAGGCTAGGCGCTATATACGATGCCTACTTTCATACATTGCCAATAACACATATATTTTAAGTTCATTATAATATGAAGATTTTTAAGCTATAGAATATATATAAAGTCACAAATAAATAAATATACTGTAGTTATTTAACAAAACTTAAGTTGCTTGCAACTTAAAAATCTCTTTAATAATCATTATACGGGGAAATTGCACTTGAAGTGTGTTGCATAAAATCTAAAGTATTTTTAATACACTATAAAGAACGAACTTCTTTAAACAATTTTACTAACGAGAAAACAGGACTGGAACAAATATCAAGTGACCTTTTTAAAATGAAATTTCAACCAATGTTTATCTTTCGAACAGTCTTTTTGTGACGCTATTTTATGAAAATTAAAACGTACAAAAATTAAAGATGAAGAGGAAACATAAAGGACACTAAACACTCCCTTCCCAAAGATATTGATTAGGAGACATAATCCTTTAAATGGGGTGGAAACCTGACAGTCCTTCCACTGCGTGTGGTATGGTTGTGATTGACTGGTGGTGAAATTTTCCCCTCAGTTTCGCACTGTACGAGGGCCATCCAGGAAGTAGATTACGTTTCCGTCTGTGTCCGCTAGGGGCGGGGCTAGCGCGGCCATCTTGGGGTCAGAGCGTTGCGCAGCTCAGTCTGCATCTAGCCGTGCTAGTGAGAGGTTCGTGCTGTGCTCCGTTCAGATACTGTGACGGTTTGAAATGTCTGCGTTAATTGAAAATCCCGCGAGCTGCGAGGTGTGCTCAGTAATAAGGTTTCTGACTGCAAAAAACTGTAAACCGATAGAAATCTATCGGCAGCTTCGTGAAGTGTATGGGGACAACATTATCACTGAAGGTGGAGTGCGTCAGTGGGTCATAAGATTTCAAAATGGCCGAACCAATGTTCACGACGAAGATCGAAGTGGGAGACCCAGCATAGTGACCGCCGAACTTCTCGAAAAAGTCGATGCTAAAGTCCGTGAAAATCGAAATTTCACAATAACGGAACTTTCTTTGAGTTTTCCACAAATTTCGCGAAGTTTGTTGCACGAAATCATCAGCGAAAAGCTTGGTTACCACAAGTTTTGTGCAAGATGGATTCCAAAAATCTTGACAGAGGACCACAAAAATCAGCGAATGGCTGCAGCGTTGAACTTTTTGGACGCTTACCATAAGGATGGTGACTCTTTACTCGATCGCATCGTTACTGGTGACGAAACATGGGTGAAACATGTGAACTGTGAAACGAAATTGCAATCAATGCAGTGGGGGCACACAAGTTCTCCCCAAAAACCCAAGAAATGCATGCAAACAATGTCGGCAAGGAAGATGATGGCGACTGTTTTTTTGGGACAGAAAAGGTGTAATTTTGGTGGACTTCCTGGAAAGAGGCACTACAATAAACTCTCAAAGGTATTGCCAAACTCTCCAAAAACTCAGAAGAGCAATTCAAAACAAGCGCAGAGGAATGTTGAGCTCTAAGATCTTGTTGATTCACGACAACGCCCGGCCCCACACGGCAAATGTCACTCGTAAAGTTCTTGAATCTTTTAAGTGGGAGTTGTTTCCTCATCCGCCGTACAGTCCCGACCTGGCACCGAGCGACTTCCACCTATTCCCAGCAATGAAGAAGTGGCTGGCTATGCAGCGTTTTGATGACGACGCACAGCTGCAAGAAGAGGTAACGAAGTGGTTGAAGGCGCAGGCGGCCGAATTTTTCGACGAAGGAATTTCCAAGCTCGTACATCGCTACGATAAATGCCTTAATTTGTATGGTGACTATGTAGAAAAGTAGTATTTGAGTGTGGCTTTCATCTGTATATAATAAAATTTGTTTCCTATACTTTGTTTATTTTTTTATTCCAAAACGTAATCTACTTTCCGGATAGCCCTCGTATGTGCAGATTTGGATAATCCATGCGCTTGTGAGTTTCAAGAGGCTGCTCATCATTGTCTTTTATGGTAAATCATGGTTTCAGTCTATCGATTGAAATTCTTTTGACAGTTCTATTAATTTCAATGTCAAAATACTTTGGTGCTCAGTGTTTGACAACATACGGCCCAAGATAAACTAATTGCAAAGATGAAGTAGCTGCGTTATTGTAGACAAAAACATGTAAACAATTCAAAAGTCTTTGGAAACGAATATGCTCGTACTGCCATGGATAGTCATTGCAGAAGGTTTCTTGTTATGGATAATACTTTGTACTCCTTGCAAGAACTCTGAGTGAACTCTTAGGGATCATGGTGATGAATTCTCTGAGTAAACAGAGGAAACTTCCGTAAAGAAGCTCGACTGAAGAGCATCCTATATCTTCTTTTAAATGCAGGGTGTAATCTGAGAAGAACCAAAGGTAAAGCATCTACCTAAGATTTGTTTTGTTGTAAATGACATTTCAAGCTTGCCTTTATAATCATGTGTTGTCCTTCAATTAATCCATTCCAACTGTGGATGTTTTGAAAACCGAAGTATTTGGCTCAAAGATGAGAAGAGTTGACTTTCAAACTGACGTTCTTCATCAGATGTAATATGCTGTGGAATTCCAAAATAAGAAATCCAGGTTGAAGATCATCCCCTTTGCAAGCTGTTTCTGCTGACTGATCCACCATAGGAAGGACTTCAGCCCATCTTGAAAAATGATCAATCATCGTTAGTATCTGAAAACCTTGACATGAAGGCAAGAGTCCAACAATATCAATGTGAGTGTATTGAAAATGTTCAGGTGGAACCTTGAAGTCCATAACAGCTGACTTTGTATGTCTTTGAACCTTAAATCGTTGGCATTCCATGCATTCCCTACACCATAACTGACAATTTTTATTGATATTTAGCCATATGAGTCTTTTCATGATTAATTTTCTTGTGCTTCTAATCCCTGGATCAGATAGGGTATGAATAGAAGAAAATATCTGTCGGCGAAAGTTTGAGAGGATATATGGGCGGTTACTGTTGGTGGAGAAATCACAATAAATCGATTTGTCAGTGCCTGGAATGAGAATCTGAACCATTCTCAGCCTTGTGTTGTTTTTTAAAATTGTTAACTCTTCATCATCTTGAAATTCTGCAATAGTTACATAATCGATTTGAGATGGTGTGGAGATGGCATTAATTCTCGAAAGGGCATCTGCAACAACATTTCTTCTCCCTTGACAAAGTGAATATTCGTTGAAAATTGAGCAATTATCTTGCTTGCCTGGGAAAGCCTTTGTCTAAACTCTGTTGAAAAGCAAAGGTGAGAGGTTTGTGGTCCATAAAGACCTTCCCTTTAATATGTACCTAAACTACTTTATTGCAATGTAGATGGACTAGACCTCTCGATCATGTGCTGTACTTTCTCTATGCGAGAGTTAAGGAGCGTGAGAAGAAACTTAATGGGCGCATCTCTCCCTGGTCAATTTGATGAATGATGGCCCTAATAGCTGTATCTGAAGCATCGTATGTGAGAGATATAGTCATGTTCATTGGGGGATGAACCAGCATAGTAGCATGACAAAGCGCATTTTTGAGGTTTTGAATGCGCTGCAATAATCTTTGCTCCATGTTAGTGGTATTTTGCTATTTTTAAATCTTTCACTGAGTACTGAGGTTAGAGGTTGTTGAAACTTGGCACATTTTGGGATGAAGAGGTAATAAAAATTGATCCTCCTTAAAAACCTGCGCAAGCTGGTAGCTGAATTGGGTTGAGTATGTTTTGTATAGTCTTAACTTTTGTCGGAAGAGGTCTTATTCCTTCAGGTGTGATTTCATATCCCAAATAATTAAGTTTAGAAGTGCCAAAAATATATTTTGCAACATTGATGCATAAACCATAGTCGTTTAACATTTGAAAAACTATGTTTAAGTGCTTACAGTGAGACTCTTTTTCTGGAGAAGGGATTAGGATGTCATCTAAACAGCAGAATGTAAAGTCTAATCCTGATAGCACCACATTCATGAATCGCTGAAATGTCTGTGCAGTGTTGCATAAACCAAATGTCATGAATGGGAATTCAGACAACCCGAAAGGAGTTCTAATGCCGTTTTGGGGGTGTTGCTTTTGTGCACTAGAATTTGTTGATAAACACTAATTTAGTGGATGAAAAAATCTTCTTTCCATGTAGAATATAGCCACAATTGGTGAGGAATGGTAGAGGATATCGATCATGAGTGATGATATTATTAAGAACCCTGTAATCTCCACATGGCCTCCAATCAGCTGATTTTTTTAGGACGAGATGTAGAAAACTGACCCAACAACATTTTGAAGGTCTGCAGCAAAGACCTTGTTACAACATAAACTCAAATTCAGCTTTTGCTGCTTTTAATTTTTTGGTTGAGAGTCTTCTGACCTTAGTGGTAACAGGAGCCCCCTCTGTTTTGATGAAATATTCAATGTTGTGACTTTTGATTTTATTATTGATGAGTGTTAGCCGCAAAAGATCTGGAAACTGTTTGAGAATTACTTCACACTGATTCTGTACTGCATGGACCATTGGTGAAACAACACCAGAGGGATCACCAATAGAAGACAATGAAGTGATGCCATTAATTTATGATTTTTGCTGTCCACCAAAAGGTGAAAGTCACCAAAAAGTCAATATCTATTATTAGTTTATTAACACCAGCTATGACAAAAGGCCAATCAAATACTCTTCTCAGTCCTAGCAACTTTTGCTCATAAGTCTTAATTTTGGTTCCATTTGCAGCAAAGAATTCCAGCTTTGCAACAGCTCTTTTTTTCTTGCAATACTGGTGGAATCATGGAAATTTTAGCGCCAGTATCGATTAAAAATTGGGTGGCGCTCTCCTTGTCATGAATAAAAAGACAACACATCTCTACCCCTTGACCCTCTGTCGTCTGCAAGAGTCGAGGATTTAGTTTTCCTGCGGATGAACATTGGTTTTGTTAGTCCAATTCCAAGGATTATTACATTTAAAAGCCTTATCCCCCAAACCTTGAGTGATAGTAATATAAACTTTCATTTACCCAACTATGGCTATTGATAGAATTTTCTCCTACAGCAAGATCTGGATTGCTGACGTTTAGAACAATGTCTTTTATTCAGTTTGCTAACTTGTAGGGATAACTCTGAAATCTGCTCCTGTAATTTAACTAAAACATTGTCATTTCTAGAGCAAGCTACAGCGGCATTCTGATGTGACATAGATTTTATTTCCGATATTTTATTGGCCATTGTTGCTAATTTGGCTAAATCATTGCTGCTGATGTGTAAAATGCTTGAGATTGCTGTGGGTAAGGAAAGCTTCACCTACCTCATCTGAAGCTAAATTCTTCATTTCGCATAACAACTGTGAAGGTTTTCTATCACCCAATTTCCACCTCAGTTAATAATTTTTGGATCTTTTGTATTTCAGTCTCAGCAAAGACTGAAATTAGTCTGTCTTTAACAGACGCGTACTTGTCGTCGCTTGGGGGTGTTGATCAGAATGCCCGAGGCTCGTGATAATATTTCAGTGTCAATGGAACTCATGACACAATTGTATTTTGTTTCATGTGTCATAATTTCAGCATTTCGAAATTGAGCTTCCAATTGGAGAAAGCATATTTTTGGGTCCAGTTTCCAAAACACTGGGACTTTTAATACTAACTCTAGCAATCGATGTCGAAGTGTCGCTTTTGTTTCTGCCTTCATTTGCCTTTTTTTTCTTTTTAATTAAGAAAGCCAGAAAGTATTTTTACTTTAACACAAGCAAAGCAGCTGTAACACGACTATCATATCTCATTACTTTCTTTTTTTTTATTAAGAACCAGTACAAACTTATAAAATTTGCTGGGAATTAATCAGAATAAAGAGATTTACACATCGGTCATTAGATGTGATTACAAATGTGTCACACATATTGCGAACATCTGTCTATGACTAAAATTGTCTGATATGGTGAGTTAGATATTGTTCTTTAAACATCAGAAAAGTTTATTATCTAACTTTAAAATAATTCGTATAACTTTGAACATTTTCACAAATTTTGCTTAATTTTTCATAGCTCCATTTCAGTTACAAGTTCAAAATGTTTAACACATCTTTAACTTACTTAACTCCTGTTTTTATTTTTCATTCTGAATTCTTGAGTAGCGTGCCTGGTAGTCACCAGTGAGGTGCACTGCATAAAATCTAAAGTCTTATTAATACACTATAAAGAATGAACTTCTTTAAACAATTTTATTAACGAGAAAACAGTATTGGAACAAATACCAAGTGACCTTCTTAAAACGAAATTCCAATGGATGTTTATCTTTTGAATAGCCATTTTGTGATGCCATTTTATGAAAATTAAAACGTACAAAAATTAAAGATAAGATGAAGAGAGAGGAAACACAAGAGGATCCTACACGCTTACTCTTTCTGGAATATAAACATGTAACTAAGAGTAATTATTTCAGCTATTCAATAATCTTTTAGAATTTGATATATTCTTCGCAAATATAATATTGCAATAACTCACTTAACAAAGCATCTCAAACGGAATTCAGATTAAATAATAATATGATACTTCTAGCAAAAATTTAAAGTAATATCAAAACTTCAACAATTATTAATTCATGCAATATGCTATCTACTATACATTCTGAGCAATAACCCATGTAAATTTATAACAAGATTAACAAAAAATGAATTTTACATTTCTTATTAAGCCCCCAAAAAACTTTTTTCGAAAAACAATAACCAGTACTGAAAAAATGCGCATTCAAAAAATGACATTTAATAAAATGTTAAATAAATTAATTATACAGAAGAAAAGCTGTAGACATAAAATACAGTTCAATAATGTAATGAAGTACCATACATAGCCCAAAACTCAAAGCTTGATTATAAAATAGGTGAAAATTCTTTACTATGCATAAAATATACATGTGAAAATACATACACATGCCTATAAAATAAACTACAGAGCTATATTAAATAATCAAATGCACAGAAAAATTTGGATTTCTAACCAGAAATTCATAAAATGTGTTTAGCAATAACTAAGCAAAAGCATATCTTCCACAAGATACGTAAATACTGATAAATTTATATATCATTTACTGTTTTCTTAAATAACTTAAAATATATCATAAATTCCTGAAAATATATCCTTTATTTTATCATTAATATCTCAAAAAACTTACAATCAAAACACCATTACCGGATTGAAAATATTTTATTATAATAAAAATTACTACATTATTTAACTATATACCTTTATTGCTGATATGAGCTTCCTTTCAGTGGTTGGTGTAAAAGCCCAAATATTTTTTGCCATAGATACTTCAACAACTCTTGAGGTATTGGCTTTTATTATGAAGTATCGGATTCTGGAATTTCCAATATGAGACTGAGAAAATTCTAGTTTTGAATGGCTATTAAATGCTTGAGATATTGAACTTGTGCGTGAACTGCAGTTGCTGTATGCAGCATTATAACTGGAAGCAGATGAACAAGATCGTGAAATGCCAGATTGTTCATCTGAGAAGCATGAAAACCCTAGAAAATTGATTTTTTATTTTTAAACCATGATAACATAATTTTATATAATTGCCTATTGTATAACTTCTGCATGCAGTACTAAATAAATTTTATATTTTGTCGTACAAATTTTTTAAATATTAATAAGTAAGCCCTTCAATTCTCAAGATAAGTTTTAAAAAATATATGTATGTTGGAAGCTTAAGTTTTAAATAACTGTTACTTATAATGTACTTCTTGGCAAACAAATATCTTGCATATGAAGGGGTGTCACAAGTATTTTCATTTCACATAATATTGAAATTTGTAAAAATTAAATCTGGATAAATTTAACTCAAATTAAGGATAATACCTTGTTTTAATTATAGTACACTAAAATAATTTAGTTAGATCTTTTATTCACCAGGTTAGATATGCATAAACAAATTTTAAGTTTTCCCATATTAAAATTCAAAAGTATTAATTGTAAAGTAGAAGCATAAATCAAAATTGATAGCAGAACAAACGAAAAAAAGAAGGGAGATTTTGATCATTTAAATGTTAGTTTAAACAATGGTACTTCTGATTATCTGCTTTCCAATCAAAATAGCAAAAGCCATTTGCTTGGCTATCTTTATGGTTCATTCTGTTCATAAATAATAATAAAAAGAAGCATTTTATAACATGTTTTATGAGGGAGGAAGAAAAATCTGTATGATCAATATTTGCATTTTTTAAAGGCTTTTTTACTTAACATTATGATCAAAGGTTAAAAATTTCTCACTTCAACACATTAAAAAAATACTCTCTTATTTTAGGAGATTCTAAGAATTCTGTTTTCATTCCTCTCTATCATTTTAGATATAAAATTGCACATATTTTTTTAAAAATCTAATTTCAGGTCATTTTCTCTTTAATAAATAATATTAGCAGTTCTGTACTTAAAGCCCATTCCGAATATACACAGGATTCCTCGTCAGCATGGTTTAATTTACATTATTCAAACTAAGAGAGATTTAAAATTTTGCACTAAGGAATATGAGGCACATGTTAAGAAAAAAAGGAAAATAAAATTTATAAATCCTCTGCTGCCCAATACCATCTGTCAGAAAACCACATCTTCCATTTTTCTGCAACAAAAATTATTCAAAAAAACATCTTGTATTGGGGAATTAGATTTTTTAGAGATACTTTATATTTATAAAAAATTTCAGTTCTAGTTAAACCCAATTCCACCAGTATCTTGACTTCCTGCCTCTCATTACTATCACTTGAGCCCAGCTTATTTTTCATCATTTGCACTTCTGCAGCTGGAGAAGGTGGTTCTATATTTAAATATTTGAAACAAATCCTGCAAATTTATGAATATCCTGATACTGATTCAAATTAAATGGTATTATAATGTAAAAATAATGCAGAATTCTGAATTCAACACTGCTAAACTTTTTAATACAGAATCTTTGAAATTTGTTTGAAAATTTGGTTATGGATTCAAAACAGAATAACTAGTATTTCATTTCACCCTTAAGTGATTGACTTCACCATTTTATAAAACTCAAATTCTCCACCTTCTTTTCTCTCCAAAGATAAACTTTTTACCTCCAATAAAAATGTTTCTTTTCCCCTTTTTCCAATTGACAAAACCTTTTTAGAAGTTCTTGCCAAACCAACTCGAACGACCTACTTACTACACCCAAGAATGTTGAATGGCATCGCCCTTCACAGAAGAAAAAATTCTTTAGTGTTCCTTAATTTCTTATGTAAAAATCAACAAAGATGAACCCCTCTAGGTATCCTTTTTAAGAAAAAGTAGTTCCCATTGCAATGCCAGCTGAAAGAGAATGAAAGAGCATTCCTAGTTCACATCTACCTAGTTCCCATCTTTTTAAGTCAGCTTTGCTTTTGTAAGATCCTGATACAACTCCCCTCTAAAGATATCATGTTCTATTAGGCTATAAATCTCTTTTTTTCATTTTTGCTGCATTCTGGGGGTTAGAAAACAAAGTGAAGAGTCTCTCTTGGAAGTAACTATCCAAATCGCATTTTATGCTGATGAGTGTGTCTCATCACTGACAACTGATGACAATTTTCAAATCAACAAGTCTGTCTCAGGAGAAATGGTGAAGCGTTTAATGTCTCTTTCTGGAACTTCACTCTAATCTAATTCATTTCAGAACTTCCATTCCTGCTCCTAAATTAATATTTCCTACATCTGTAAATAGACTATTGCTGGCTAGATTGTTATCTTTTCAAAGGATACTTTTCATAACGCACTGAGATTTCAGAATCATTTTTATTTTGTTTTTAATGCGATGAAATTTAAAGATGAAGGCAACATTTAATAAAATGTATAAATCTAAATTTAGACCTACTTCTATGGTAAAGTGAATAAAGGATAAAAAATACACCTCAGTAAAAATATTTTGTAATGCAATTAACAAGTGATTTGATTTCTTAAAGTTTATATTCTACAGTCCCAAGAAGAAATACGTATTAATTCATATATCTAACTCTCTCATGTTATATTCATTGTTGTTACTCAGGAAGATTAAAAGTACTAGAATTAATATGAAAGTACAAAAAGTGGTCACCTTTATAAGTGATCTACTTTCATCTGTCAACATCACAAAATAGTACATTATTTAAAATACATATTATACTTCCAACATGCATTGAAATCCCAAATTACATTTGAAAAATCTCTTAATTCAATTTTAAATGCCAAAATTATTTTCTTTAAGCTTATACCTATAATAAAACAAAGTACCTGGATTGCTGTATGCAGCTGAAGAATTATAAAAGCTAGTACTGTGAATTGGGCTACTTTGCATCTGTCTACCCATATGAACTGGAGAACAGTAATCCATCACCAAGGGCCGAGGACGCTGTCCAATTCCAGATGGTTGCTGAAGATTAAGTGCTTGATCTTCAGCAATTAAAACACCTACTACAGTGCGTAAAACAGCCTCATCAGCTTGAGTAAGTAATTTAGAAGGTGAATGCATTCGTTTTAAAAATAATGCATGCCATTTTTGACGTAACTGAAGCACTAAACGAGCAATCTGAAATTTAAAATAAAGTTACTTACCATAAAATTTATGATTTTAAAAACATTACTAAAAAGTAATTTACAACACTGAGACTTTCATTATCACTTTCAAGCTCAGTTGTTATTTCTAGATGTTTTTTAAAATGTGCTTTATTAAATTTCATTTTTAAGTATTCCCTCCTCTTATGATTCAATGTAAATTATACTTAATTACATAGATTTTTATAAAAATAAAAAAAAAAAAAAAAAAAAAAAACATTTAACAACAAATATTTATTAAAAGACACACAAAGATGATTTTCAATTTTACATCAACATTTTCTGCTTTTATAAGCAGAGTTATTCATTCAAAACTGGCAACAGTTAGACTACAGGAGATTATAGTCTAACTATTGCAAGTTTTAAATATGTAAATCTAATTTCTCAGCATTAATATAGATATAAATAATTACCTCCAACCAAGTCAACATTCTCTTTGTAAACAGCAATAGAACCATTGCATGGGAAATAATTAGAAACTCAATATAGCAGAAAGTGGATACTTGCATGCATGAGAATAAATAATACACAACATATCTGTTGGATAGTTTGGAACACAAGTGAAGTTTTATTATTTGCACAGTGAGATAGAAGCATATAAAAACATCTATGAGCCAAGAACATATTTAAAGCTAACCTTTTTACACTCCCAATTTAGGTTTAAATATCATCATCCTAATTAAACACAATGAAAAATTACATCAGCACACACATACATATAATACAACACTAGTCTTCATTTTAAATCTATCATCTTTGCACGCATTTCATGTTTTGCACTATTTATAATTTTTGTCAAAAAATCTGCAATCATATCATAAGTAGTCTTATACTGTATGTCAATGTGCTGAAGTTTCACAGCTTCTCGCACGAGATGCTGTTGTATATCAATATGTTTTGATCTACCATTATACACACTATTTTTGCTGAGATTAATAGTATCGCAGTATAATAATACTGGATTTGCAGTAATAATCCCAAGTTCTTTAACAATTTTGTTGAGCCATATGGCTTCTTTAGTAGCTGCAGAAAGAGCCATATATTCGGCTTCTGTTGTACTAGTTGCAATGGTAGGTTGACGCTTACTACACCATGATATTGCACCACCTCTGATGAGAAAAACATATCCAGTGGTTGATCGTGGATCCCCAGCATCACTTCCATAGTAAATCCATCTCAACTCTTTAAAAGACATTTTGCAGACTATATACCATCCGACTCTTCAAGAGTAAATGTAATGAGGAGATGCAAATTATGCTATTCCAAAGGTCTTAGGAAAGAATCGAGATTTTGGTGTTCCGACTGTAGTGTTGGTTTGTGTATGCCGCATTGCTTTAGGGAATATCATACGAAATAATTGTTTAAATTCGTTCAATTAATTTGTTTTTCCGGATTAAAAATGTTTAATTTTAATATTTAATATCATTAAATATTTTAAAACGATTTTCTTTTATTTATTCCTTGCGATGTGCTGAAATTATTGCAAAGGGAAAAGTCCCCATTGTGAAACGATTTTACTGAAAGCTTATTCCCCAGTTAACAGGTTAAATAGCCGCGTGCTAATATAAATATTCGCGTATCTGATTTATATTCAATTCCTCTTTTTATTCTATTTTTTCTTCTACTATGTATGGCCTTTTAGGATTAACATGTTAAGTTTTGCATTGCCTTCAGATATATTTCTGTTTCTTTCTCTTTTTATTTCGGAAAGCCTCACCTCCAGTCTATTATGGCGGGAAGGCGCTATTTATCAGAGGAATAATACCCTCGTATGGTTAATGAACCATTTACTAACACAGATGAGCATGATGATTCTTTTTCTAAAGAGTTAGAAAGTGATACTTTTTCTAGAGTTAGAAAGTGATACTTCTTCGTGCTTCAAGATGTACCACACTCCATCTTCATTTTAAATTTTTGTTACTTCTTACTGTAAATAGTCTTTATGTGTTGTTTTATTAATTTTAAACTTTATTGATTAATTTTATCAATTAAAACTTTGGAATAATTTCAATAGCGCTTCCGAAAATTATTTTAAAAGATAAGGAAATTTTTAAGTATATTTTCATGTAAAATAAAGAAACAAACGTTATTAAGTGCTAATTTTAACATATAGGAGAGTTCAGGTAATAATGTAAAATGATACCAAAAATTACGAGGCTAGAAGTGAAACTTTTTTTGTCTGATTTTTTTTTATAAAATTAGACTTAGCAATGCAAAACCTCCGCCCTGTACAGTGACTGCCTTCGATTCCCTTCCGTCCCGCTAGAGCGTCTTAAACAAAGGTGCACCGTCGTGAAAAGGTTAATACTAGTGGATTCCAATTGCTGGTAAGCTGAAATGGCCCCATGTAAATAGTCTGACATATCCTTGCTATCGGTATAACGGGTATTCACCAATGTTTTAATTATTGAAACCTTTCTTGTGATTCCCTTATTCTTATATGCTTCAGCTAGTACTTTCCATGCTTCATTTCCACTTGTTAAATCTCTTATATCATTGAAAATAATTTCACTTACCACTTCAACTATATATGACAAAGCTTTGATATCCTTTACTGGATCTTCTTTTGTACCCTCTACATAAGCCCATAAATCTAATTTAATAAGGTGCATTTTCATGGAAAATTTCCAATCCATGTAATTTTCTCTTCCATTCAATTGTTTGTGACTAAATGAACCTTCTCCCTTTGGCATTTTTCCCTTTTCTTTAACTTTAATCAACAAGAGACAAAATTATAATTTGAGATAAATTCAATAAATTTTCTATTGAATTAATTTTATTCTCAAAGGAACATTTGCCTAAATAACCAACAGTCAAAAAATATTTGTACTAGTTAAGCTTTTGCAACCATGTGCTTTGGCTAACCCTAACATAACCATGTGGCCAATTTTTGGTTAAAGTAATTCTAAAAAATTTACAAATAGAATTAAATAAAGAAATTAAACTAGTCATTAGATTATTTATCCTCATTTCTTAATCTGGAGTGGGCCCATAGCCTATTAAAAACTCAATATAGCAGAGAGTAGATACTTGCATGCATAAGAATGAATAATACACAACATACCTGTTGGGAGTTTGGAACACAAGTGATGTGAATTACGGCAGACTGAAGTATTCGGCCTATCAGCCTTTAGTCGAAAAATTAGTATCGCTACTGGGCAGTCTTAATGAAAATCTTAAACAGTACAATTTGTATGTCTTCCTTGGCGAAGCAATTGAGATGACGGCGAGAGTTAGCGAGATTAAATACAACACCTAGTGCAATCTGATTGATTGAACATGCAGAGTAGTCAAGTGATGAATAATGACTTCTAATGTCATTAAAAATTGTCCGAGTATTAAAGTTTTGTATTTTTCATAAGATAAATGTTCAAAGTTCATGGAATGGTTTGCACAGTTATATAGAAGTATATAAAAACAGTGGTGCCATCTATGGGCCAAGAACATATTTAAAGGTAACCTTTTTACAGAATTATATACTTGTCATCATAAAGCAACAGTAGAAAATACAGGTTCACAGAAAAAAAAAAAAATTCTCTAGAAATTTTTTGTTCCTTAAGAACTGGGACCTGTGTCTAACTAGTCTCAAAATGGATAGTAATTTATTTCAAACCTATGTGAAATTAAGGTTGCTGTTTTGTCCAATTTTAAGTTTTACAATGATATTTTCTCTCCCCATTTGACCTCTGAAACTATCAAACTGAAGACAATATTTTTTACAATGAAAAATATTCATTTATAGTATACATGGTATGTCAATTCAATATGAACATTAAAAATTCCAAATTTTATGAATTAAATTTTGCCAAAATACAAAGCAATGCAAATCATAAAAATACTCATTTTCATTATTTAATACAATTAAGTCTTTATATTTTAGAAGGGGGGAAGAAAAGGAATAAAGAGGACATCCATTCCACAATCTCAATGCTGAAAACAAAATGCTATTGTTAGCATTAACTTTTCATTTGCTACAAATGATAATGTACACTACACACATAAATAAATGGGGGGACAGTTCTAGATCTCCCATTCTACTGGGCTGATTGACGAAATTCAAATTGGGTTTTTCATGTCTCGAAAGCGCAACTTAGGACATATATTAGGTTAATATATATAGCACTATTCTAACATACGTATTTTGACACAAAATTGGACTTTTTTTTAAATGACATGCTAATGTTTTTCCACTATTTCAATTCTACGACTCAAATTATGCATAAATATTAAATTTTGTAAAATTCGGTGTGAAATTTGTGGAGAAATTCAAAAATTTATCTTGGCTCTTGTTTTTCAGTTGGCGCCAAGAATAACTCACTCAGAGAACTTAATTTATAGCAACCTATTTTCCCTTCCCTTTTTATCATTGCACACGAGCGGGGGAAAAGGCATCATTCATACTTTTAAATAACTTTTAACAAAGTGCATAAACCACATTTGGCATTATTATCATTTATAACATATATGCCAAACTTTAAAATACACCAGTTTGTTAGTTCATGTAAATCTCAGAAAATTTTTAATTAAAAAAACTCATTTTTTACAGGTGTTCCTAGAAGTACATCTACTTTAAGATGTAAAAAATTTTATAGGTAATAATACAACAAAAGTTTTTTCTAAAAAATTATAAAAAAAATATTTTAAATACAAATTTAAAAAGATTAATCATAAAAAACGTGCAAACTACATTTGGATTAAGACTAAATTTTGAATTCTGGAATAAGGAATCAAGTAAATTTAATAAAAAAAAGAGATATTAATAAATATATATCAAATTCAATTAACAATGAGGAGTTTTGAAAAACTACTTGTGCGATTTTTTACAAAACTTAACAGTTTGGCATAATTTGAATCATAGAATCGAAATATGAAAAACAATTGGCATGTCATTTCATAAAAAGTCCGATCTTATGACAAAATGCCTACATTAGAATAATGCTATATATAAATCTAATACAAATACTAAGTCGCGCT